GCATCCCCCGTAAGGCTTGCTCGCCCGCCTGCTCTGGAGCAGTGCAAGGGCCCTCAAGTCAGGGAACCACGAATCCTAGAAAGTGGGTGAAGCTCAGCCTCTGGAGGACGCAGGAGCTGTGTAGAGGTGAAGGGCAGGGCCTGAGAGCCAGAGCTGCCTGGTGGCGAAGCCCAGCCTGCTGCTAAGTAGCCGGCAAACTTAGGGCAATTTATGTAACGACCTGGGCCTCAGTTTCTCCTCTGTAAAGGAGAACAATGCCTGCACCATAGGGATGTTGTAAAGATAGAAAAAAGGCAAGAAAATGCTTGCTCTAAGCAGCACCCAGCCTGCAGGGAGCCTCATGTGCTAGCTGCCTCATCAGCTGTCAGAATCGGGACTCTGGGCTCTAAAACCAGTCACCATGGGAACTTCTAAAACTTCTTGGTCCCCAGGCCTCCACCTGCAGAATTTTGCCCCAGTGAGTGCGGTGCGTTTTCCAAGCTCCCCAGTGCTCCCCGCCCCCAGTCTGCAGGTGGCTTTTGAGACTCCCTGGTCCTGATGCTGCCTGGCCTCAGGCCACCGTCCCTGGTCTTCCTGGGACCCCGTAACCATACTCACCACATCCACCGAGGCCCCACTGTCTCTGGAGAGCTGTCTCCCAGGCAGCTGCTGTCCGGTCAGCCTCTCCCTTCATCCCTTCCCGCCCCATGTCTCCCACCCAGCCCTGGCAGCCACTGACCTTTCAGTTGCCTAGCAACCCTGGGACCACCAGCCCAGCCCTGGTTCCCCATAGTGCCACAGGGCTTGCCACCCTTCACAGGGCTGCCAGTGGGGGGTGCTTCCCACACTGCCCCCTCCTTCCCTGATGCCTGCCACCCACTGCAAGACACTGTGCTCAAAGCTGGAAGCCTGTGATGACCCCAACTCTGACCTTCCATGTCCCCAAGCTCTGAAGGCCACCATGGGGACAGCTGGGCATAATGCCAATTGGAGAGAGATGTTCTCTCTTTTCAAGAGCACTAATCCAATTGGAACATTAAATCGAGTTAATAGGAAGATAGAGATTAATTAGGGTTAATCAGGATTTGGGGAAATAGCCGAAGAGGAGAATAAATTATTCCTTTTTAGAGAAGCTTTTTTATTGCTCTTTTTTAAATTATAAAAGTAATACATTCCGATTTTGGACATTTCACTCAATTTTGTAGAGAATTGTATAAAGTTAAAAATGAAAGCTTTCTCTCAACATCCAAAGCTAACCAGTGTTAATGGTTTTGAGTGATTCGTTGTTAAAAATAGATGATTTTACAGAAAAATACAATTGGTGGCCGGGTATTTAGCTCAGTGGTTCCAGCGCCTGCCTTGCAAGCACAAGAACCAGAGATCAATCCCCTGTACAAAAAAAAAAAATTGGTCAGCGTTATTCTTTTTGTTTGTTGGTTTGATTTGTTTTTTTGAGGTAGGGTCTCACTGTGTAGCCCAGGCTGGTCTTGAACTCACAGCGATCCTCCTGCCTCAGCCTCCTGAATGCTGGGATCACAGGCATGCACCACCATGCCTGGCGCAACATGATTTTTGTGACAACAAATGTATATATAATGTATCCATGCATTTAATATATATAACACGGACTGATGTGGGTCTCATTCATCATCTTACTCCCTTAAATAAATGTACAGCGACTCGGTTTTAGGGGAGAGTTGGGAAGAAGGGCAGGGGCTGTGTCCCCGGGTGACAGCCCCGGGCTTCAGCCAAAACGAGGCTCTTTTTTTGAGTGTGTGGTACCAGGGATTGAACTCAGGACCTTGCGCGGTGCCACTGAGCTGAATCGCCAGCCCTAGTAGGCTCTTAAAGAACAATTGAAAGCATAGTGTGACACCCCTCTCCCCCCAGGACAGAGCATCGCGCTGACCTGGGACACCCTTCCGACCCCTAGCCAGGTCCCCTCAGCTGTACCTCAGGGAAGGGGTGTCCCTGCTGGGGCCTGGCTGGCTCTTAGCAGCTTGTGCTTGGCAGGGAGGGACCAGAGCCTGGCACGCATGCCGGGTGCTCCTGTGTACCACGCCGGGCTCCACATTCGCACTGGGCCAGGCAGGTAGTCTGCTGGCTCTGAGGGGTCTGGGATGGTTGTCCTGGTCACTCTGAAGCAAGGACACTGTCCGCGCCAGCTCCGCCATGGCCCACACCTCCCAGCACCAGGACCCCAGAGTTCCTCACTCTCTTTGCTTTGTCCCTGGGCCCTGCTTCGTTCTCCCCACCCCAGCTCTCTGAATAAATTCGCCGCTCATAAACCCGCCGCTTAATTAATGTCTGGAACTAATGTCCCAATTTGCTCAACGATTCTGCTGCTCACCTCGGTGACAAATTCTTGTTGTTGTTCTTTGGAAGCTTAAAATAGCAGGCGTGCCCGAGGCTCCCGCTCTGACGGTTTCCTGACTGGCTTCCCGGGGTGCCGGAGTCCTCTGTCCAGTGCTAACCTGCTAGGTGTCCGGGGAGACCAAGGCCCCGAGAGTTGGGAGGACTGTCCTGCAGGCACACAGGAGGTCTGGAGTGCAGGAGCCCCTCCTGTGGGTGTGTGTGAGTCGCTGGCCGGCTGGCTTCCTGTAAGCTGGCGGAGGCTGAGCTCCAATCGCCCTGCCCTGTCCTGCAGACCCGCAGCTCGCGCCACACTCAGGGAGCCCAGCCGGGACTGGCAGACCAGGCAGCCAAGCTGTCCTACGCCTCGGCTGAGTCACTGGAGACCATGTCGGAGGCCGAGCTACCCCTGGGCTTCAGCAGGATGAACCGCTTCCGCCAGAGCCTGCCCCTCTCCCGCTCTGCCAGCCAGACCAAACTGCGCTCGCCAGGTACGGCCCCACCTGGGCGTCCCCCGCCTCCGCCTAAGGCTCCTCCTCCGGCCCTGCCCCAGCTCAGATCTCCCCGCCCCTCGAAACCTCCGGGTCCCTCGCCCTCGCTATCCCGTCCCTATGCTGTCTCTCCGCCCTCTCCAACCCTACTTCCTTTCTCTGCCCCCTCGGTCTCCCTAGCACCCCGCTGTTTCTGCGTCACCTGCGCTGCCCCGTCCCATCCCACGTCCGGTCCGGGTTCCAGCTGCCCGGAGTCGAGTGGGTGATCGGGCAGCCGGCAGTATGAGCGCTTGGGTTCACCTTCACTCGGGGGCGGCGTCGGGCCTCAGC